TACAAAAGTAGTGATTCTAACCTTCCTGTAACTTCTTAATTAAATTTCAGATCAATATTGTCACCTCTTATATATTGTTACTTCTTGAAAATGATTTGGGTTTGTCAATAGAGGAGCTTTATATGCTAGTTCCAACATTATTTTCCAAACTATGGTGGCTTCTCGTATATGGATTCGTGAATATAGAAACATTGACGGGAATGAGAAAGCTATTTCGATTTGGCTTATCTTGATGCTTTCCTAAATATATCCTTAAAGGCACCGGTTAATATTCCTCGGAGTCTGTCAACAAAAGTATTCACCTCTACTTTTTTCAACTTACTAATAACAAATGGAAAACACTTTCGTTTTCACCGAGAATTCATGTGTGTGATTACTGCAAAGCTGACTGTAGTTTTCTCCGGTCACTGATATATAGGAACCCACGCAGAGAAATCATGAACTCCTTATAATACTTATTAAAAAAGTTGTGGAATTTTCAGAAAAAAGAATCCATTAAAAATTTTCTCTATAAGTGCCCGGCGTTCAGAAAAAATAGGTTTTTAGGGAAGTGCTTTTTTGGAAACCGACATATTAAATTATTTAAACTTCACGGGAAGGAATTTGTCAGTATCTTTCTATCTTAAAGTTTCTTGCTACGAAAGTGGTAGTCAAACGGCGAAAATTCGCTAATTGAGGTCAATGGAAAATTATCTACTGATCTGTCACTACAACCAATCAATCAACCGTGTTGAACCGAAAAATATTGTATTCAGTATAGTTTACAGAGTTCAGTTAGATATTTAACGTCTTTATAATAGATTGGAATTAGTATCTTTTCAAAAAATTAAATGTAAATACATTATTGAGCAAAACATACGAGCGGTAGTTGAGAGTTTTTTATCCTTACGTTACTACGAACATATAGAGTGATTTTATACAAAAATCCTTCCTATAACGTAATTCGCCGTATAATACGGGCATCCCCCATATAACGCGGAGATTTGTACAGTTCATAATTAGTTTTGCGCAAGTTTGCACGTGTGTATACGGGAAATACGGGAATATTCCTATAACGTGTATTCCTATAACACGGTATATTGGTTTCGCGGGATTACTTTACTCTATCTTTTAAATACTATTTATTATAAAACTAGATGTTTTTATAAACTGGTAGCTATTATTCTGCGTAATAAAATAAAATAATTTTAAATTGTTATCGTTTTTTGGCTTAAAAACTTTACAACATTTTATTAGATACAAGTAAATGGTCCTATTGTTACCAAGTTCGTTGATTTTATTCTGAAACTTATATAAAAATTTGTTGACGCTGAAAAGGTGAGCTTAAGAAGAGAAGTTTACCTCCACTGGTGATTTCCAAAACTAAAATCATAAAACTGGATTTTCCGTAAAATTAACGAAATAAAACAGTTACAGCTTCATAGACCCTACATCAGTCTAGTGCTGGTGAATTTGAGGTGTCGTAAAGCCAACATCACCACCTGCCTGCAGAGCAAATTTCAATCTGAATATTTCAGAATTAATGCCAACACAAGTTAAACTTTTCCCATTAGCCAAGAACTGACATATATTTGAATTCATTGGCTGAAAGTTTTAGCGAGTTTCCGCTTTGCCGGTTAGCGCAGTTATTCTCAATTTGACGGCGTCACCGCGTGTGCAAAGGTAAACTCTCCCACTTCGCATTAGAAACGCGTTCAAGTCTCTAAATTACAATCCAAAGTACAAACTTCAAATTACGATTTTACGAATTCCAAATTGCAAATAACAAATTGGAAATCTAACAACAAACCGATGACAAAATTTGCTGGCAAGGTCGGGATTGAGTGCGACTAAGAAATGGAGTGACGCAAGGGATTCAACACCGAAACTGGCTATATTAGCCCAGATATTCGTGTTGAGTTGCGTTTGTGCGCGGGTATGGATAGGAAAGTTCAGTTTCGAACATAATCGGAAGTTTGCATGTCAAGGCTCAACAAGGAAAATATCAATAAAATCGCTTGAGAATTTATTTGATTTACGCTGGAAACAATTTTTAATTTATTGCCTCAACAATGTTTGAATAGCGTCGCCATGAATGTGTCATACCACGCCTCATTAGGTGCGAATACTCTAATGAAAATACATTCTATCAAACAAATGAAACCAATTCTCGTAAATTATAGACGCTTTAGCGAATTTATCACTTCTTCACACGACACACTAAACCATATTTGAAATATTTTCTTCAGTTCTGCAAAAATTCTCATTTCACTTTTTAGTCGTAAAGCGGTATGTTAATTAAATACAATAAACTATTGACATTTACAACTTTTAAAATGATAGTATCTTTGAAATATGTGAAAGTAAAAAATATACTTAGTTTCCTTGACTCGGTAATGGGTACGGCGATTTTTTTCTTGATCACAGTTCCCGAAATAATAGATGTGGAAAATGAAACCCCTAAAATGGTGTTGCATATAGCTGAAATCGTATTGGATGTAAGCAATTTAAGTTGCCCTTATTAGATGTCGGTGAGAAGCCGACTTTTAATAAGTCAGGTCAGGTTTCGCCTTTAAGAAGGCGAAAGATTAAACATAATAGCTACTAAAACACTTTTATGATCGGAGGCATTGAAATTTACATCATAAAGTTTATATATCGTTTTAGTAGTATATTGTTCTAGGGTCACATGTGACCTAAAGTGTCATAGTAACATCAAATATAAAATTGGTGTTATGAATGTAAATGTAAATTTTAAAATTCAAAAGAAGAGAAATTTAGAAATTTCAATTAAAATTTGGTCACGGGGCTTTCTGCGCCTCCTCATGTGGATCAAAATAGTGTTGCTCAGTAATAGGTGTCAGAGTTTAGGTACAAACTAAAGGAGCAAATATGTGCATTTTTGTGTAAATATATAAGCGAAATATATAAAAATTAATTTAACTATGAAAAACTTTTAAGTTTTTATATCTTGAATACTTGGATTCTCGCTACTTGTATTCTTGCTACTATTCTTAAATACCTGTTAAGAGGATTTTCGGTCATTATTTATTAAAACTTTTTTCTTCACAAAAACTGTTATAATAATTCCATCGCATACCTTAGCGAAATTTAGCCACGGATTCGAAACTATTGCCTCAAAACCCCTTTCATCTTCTTAGTTCGATTTAAGAGCTTAAAATTGTGTGGCTATTTAAAAATTCTGACTACAATTCTGTAGTTATTGCTGAAACTATAAGATATTTATCATCATCATATTTGCCGAGGTGTGCTTTTACCCATTTAGGGACTATTCTATTCGTACCTCTCATTGAGTTATTTCTTCCGTTGCCGTTTGCACTGCTCTCGTTTGCGTTTGCTTCCGATATGACTTTCTTGTCTCGTGCAGTTGGTATGCCATCGTTGGTTTAGTTTGGTTTCTTAAGTGTTTGGGTTTCTTTTTCGCAGATCGAAAGTGTTTTACTTTCTCAGACATGCTGAACAACAATGGGTACAGCAGCGGAAAATAGCAGCACAATTTTATATTTTTCCAAGGCAGTCCGATTAGTTTCTCTATTAAGTTTTACACGCGTTGGAGTGCCAAATTCACTTTACAGTACTCCATGCCAAGCTCTTTCGAAATTAATTGCTCATTAGTTCACTTAAGCGGATTGAAGGGTTAATGTTTATAGTGATTACAAAACCAAGACGACAGGGATGCTGACTACTGTTGACTGCCACCAACGCAGCTGATGTTGCGATGTTGCGATGCTGTAATGCTGATTGGAATAGTATTGGAGTAGTCGAGGTTTGTGCGGGTGTGTTACTTTCAGTTTTTGTTGTGGGCGTTGTCGAATAATTTCGATTACGTTCTATGTTTGGAGGGCATTCAACTTTTGTCAACGTTTGTTCGTGTTTAGTGGAACTTGCGAGTTTGCTGGTCAGCAACAAGCAAACTTGAGCTTAGGCAGTGCGAATGTAAGTAACATATTAATTAAAGTTTCTCC